GACGTGATGGAGACAAAGGCAATGCCAGTAAATGGTGTATCCCATATGGCTTTCTCACATGGACAAATTGTATCACACATGTACAAGACTGAGAGAAATGTTTTTCAGTTAGCAACTGTGTCACGTCTATAGAACAAAATGAAAGTGTGTGTTTGGGTATGTAATAACAGAATCAACGTTGAGTTTTCACAGAGACAAGGAAACCCCAACTGAGGGGTAAATTATTTGTCTCCAGCGAGGCTTTGCTAACCGATGAGATGAAAATTGCAACCCGAGACTGGGATTTCATTGTCTCTGTGCATACCCCAACATCAATGATTTTTATTACCTTTCAAATTAAGATTCCTTCATTTTTGTAATATAGTTTAGCTCATTCACCACACAACGGAATCGTTAGGTACTGTTATTTATTCACATTTTTATGTAGGCGATTGGATCTTATAACCTATTACGCAACTAAAAATACACGTCAGTATTTGCAACAATATCTACCATTTTTACACCCCACCCCCAAAACAGCAGGAACTTAACACTTATAATTATTGACATGTTGTAAGTATTGCAAAATCGCAAACAAATATATATATATATATATATATATATATATATATATATATATATATATATATATATATATATATATATATTTACATCAATAAAGTACTTTGAACTCAGTTCGACATGACCTAAATCTTACAAATATATTTATAATCGTACATCAATTGAGAACTGATATCTGGTACTCTGGACATCACTGAAATATCAAGTATAGGTCTATATAATAGTCTGAGAGAGAGAGAGAGAGAGAGAGAGAGAGAGAGAGAGAGAGAGAGAGAGAGAGAGAGAGAGAGAGAGAGAGAGAGAGAGAGAGAGAGAGAGATATTTATTCCTCCTTTTCTGAAGATTTTAAGATAAACTATAGAAAGGCATTGTAATATATTAAATCACAAAAATGTTGATTTATGACTTATAAAGTCTTCTGAATAGGTCCAAGTGATGGAACTCAAGCTCATTCAAGTTTTTAAGACACCAGTGTTTCGTGCTTTTCAGTCATTAGAGACATCATCTATGTTCCTTAACTTGTACTGTTGTTTTTCCTTGTTACGAGTGATCCTTCATTTTAGATTTCACTATATGGTTTTATTTCAGACCCACGTTCTATCAACTAGTATGTCTCTCAAATGACATATAAAAAGCAGTAATACAAACTTTTCTTGTAAGCTTCTGTAAATGCTACGGGAAAAAATATCATGACTCGGAGATAATCATTTTTCTTTGATCTTAATCAAAGCCTCACACTATCAGGAATATATGTCGAGTGCCAAGCAATTATCCTATCTCTTTACTTTTACGAACCGAATTTCCTACAAACTTTCTCTTCCCCTCAGCACGATGCATATCAACTTGTAACATTAGTTACATCACCCAGATCAAGATATCGTATTAAATAACACTTCCGATGTCAGACATTCGCGTCAGACATGCATAAATGCTTGGAAACGAACTAGATAGAACTTTAATTATAGTTTGCTTCCAAATTTTTAATAAATCATTGACACTAAAGATGGATGGATAGATGGATGGATGGATGGATGGATGGATGATTAGATATCATTACCACTGAAAAAGAAAAGATGGAACGTGTAGAGTAGCAAATGTTTATATGGATGAAAAGAAACGCGCTACAAATCTCTCTCTCTCTCTCTCTCTCTCTCTCTCTCTCTCTCTCTCTCTCTCTCTCTCTCTCTCTCTCTCTCTCTCTCTCTCTCTCTCTCTCTCTCTCTCTCTCTCTCTCTCTCTCTCTCTCTCTCTCTCTCTCTCTCTCTCTCTCTCTCTCTCTCTCATATATAGACCTATACTTGATATTTCAGTGATGTCAAGAGTACCAGACATCAGTTCTCAATTGATGTACGATTATAAATATATTTGTAAGATTTAGGTCATGTCGAACTGAGTTCAAAGTACTTTATTGATGTAAATATATATTTGTTTGCGATTTTGCGATACTGCATTATATGTAAAGATCAGTTGTTATTTTGTAATTATACAAATAATGCTTTTATGAAATGGATAAACCATATATATTGTTACACACACACATACACACACACACACACATATATATATATATATATATATATATATATATATATATATATATATATATATATATATATATATATATATATATATATACACACACACACACACACACACAGAAGTGTCCCAGGTTAAATAACTAGCTAAAATCGCTTTCTGACTTGAAAGGAAGCGATAATGACAATCATTCAGTTAAAATAACGATAATGACTTTCTTTCAATTAAAATTAATGCAAAATATTGTTTTACCTTTCATTAAAAAATGCTGGCAAATGCGCACACACACACACATACACACGCCAAAACATGTTTGTTTGCATACATTATCACACAAGAACAAGGAACAAAACTTGTGTAAGATTTGAAACAGTAGACTCCTTGAAAAATGCAAAAAGCAAAATGACGTCACAGAGACCGATCTAGTTATTTTTAGCATGTATCATTTAATAATTTTTGCTTGCACTACCCAAATTTATTAATAACTGAAAAATCAGAAAAACGTTCAAAATGGAGCATTTTTATATACTGATTTTTTTGCCACATTTGCTACAGAAATACAAACATTTTTGATGCCTGGGAGAGATTTATGAATATCAATTAATACAAATAATAATATCTTTAATGAACGAATATAAAATATTGCACCGAAAATTAAGTGTCTGAACAGAAAATTAAATTTTTAACTATTCCAGCCAGGAAAACAATTACGTGGTTCTGATAATCCAATACTCTGTAGGTGTTTTAGATAAAAGGAGTAGAAATAAAACGAAAACTTAACATTACAAAAGATAACTCCGGTAATTTAAAACACGCGGGAGATACATTTTGGTTAAAGTGAATAAGAATTTTTTTAATGAATAAGAAATTAGAATACTGACGTGGAGTGATGCAGAAAACACAACTGAAATTATATATTAGAAGTTTCATTTAGAGTGATGAATGACTTCAAATGACAGTTTTATGAATCTGTAATCTTATTAAAATATAACACGCTCTAAAAGAAAAGTTGATTTTGTATGTACACCTTCGGTTAGGTTTTAGTTTTGCATATGTTTTCCTTGCCTTCCAGTCATGGAGTATATCATGTAGGTAACACGTATCATAAGTTTTTACAACTCTTACCAAAATATAAGTGGGATGTATAGTATGTTCCCTTGGTCCTGTGAAAGATGCCTTTGGCATTGTGCAACCAAATGATCCGAACATAAACATATAAGTATCCATCTATCAAGTATGAAGGCTGAGAAACAACACTGGTTTACTTATTACTTAAAGCTAAACATGTATATTTTTCTTGAATATTCAAAACTATTAGTTATAACAAACTCATCACGGCTGTTATTGAAACAAATGGCAGTTGGTTTGTCAGGAAAACCCTCAGTTATGATTCTAATGCAAACGCCGTCTTGTGTCAGCTGGAGTATGCTGTGAGACCCGTATCCAACCACATAAACGTTATCATCCCTGTCTATAGCAACACCTGTAGTAAGACGGAGACTGTCAGGACTGTAGACAAACATCATCCTAACATCCATATTGAAACAGTACAGGGAATTGACAAGGCATACAGTAATGTAAACACGTGTACATGATGAACTGAGAGCGGTATAAAATGATGACTTGTCAATATGGCAGTCAAACTGATGACACTTCTCTTCCTCTCCTGTACTGGAGATCAGACTCCAGTAGGATTTTCCTTCACTATTAGTTGAACTAGATACAACTATCTTTCCTATTCCTGCTGGAGCGACACCTCTACATTGATATCTGGTTGCAATCTTCCTGGTGAGTTTGATAATCCCGCTTGTTACATACAGGAACTGAAGTGTTTTCGTACTTGGTAAAGAGACGACCACCTCCTTATGATCCACTAAACAAATGTCCCATGGCCTTTCTGCCAACGGTAGGCTGGCGACGTATTGGTACGAGGAGTTGAGTAAAAGAACTCTCTTGTTATTGAAATCAGTCAGCATCACTTGATCATCTTGTAAAAATGTAAGCCCTGTTTAGAAGTGATCCTGATCACCAGGCACTTTTATCTCCACAGCTTCCCGAATCTTAATTTGATAGTCTTTCAATGGCTTCTTTGGTCTTGCGATCGGAGAACTCTCGTGTTCCAATCTGCATACGACCTTCCCAATATTTGACCTCTGGTCCAGGAAACTCTGGAGTTCTGGATCAACCTGAAGATTTAGTGTGAAGGTCTTCGTCTCTTTAAACTTCTCTTTAATCTGTTCGTGATACAATTTCACCTGCGATATCGTTCTGTCAGCCATTAGAAATATCTAGAAAAGGAATACATACGTTTATGAAAAACTAAAAACAGTAGAAGCTTTCACTAATTTCGTTGTGCACGTTTTCTGTAGAGCATTTAGATTTACTTAATTACAAAAATAAATCGGAATGAAATACATAAATTCTCTATCAAAAATAAACAAAACAATGAATAAAAAAAATTTGACACTTAAATTTACGCGTAAACTATGAGATGTGTTTATATGATCAAAATTAATTGAAGGCATATTCAATATTGAAACTTTTAAGTTTTAAAAATATCCGTTACAACCAAAGGAATAAAGAAAGTTAGAATTTAAAATCATAGCGACATAATCTCCAGCTGTTTGGTAACACTCCTAGTAAACCCATGCCACACACAAAGATAGATAATGCCTAATGTATACAAATATTTCATTGTTTTCAATGTTTTCAATCTCGGCAAAATACCAATAATTTGCGAATGTAAGAAAGTCATATAGGATACAACAATCCCAGACGAGGACACTCATTTACACTGTCCTCACGAGAATTTGCCGGTTGGAATTTAAAAAATGTTTCAATCATTATCTGCCAGAGCTGCAATACTGCTGCTACTACTACCACTGCTGCTACTATTACTACAAAACAGTTCCAGTGGCTTAGTGGTTAGAGCGTCCGCCTAGATTGCTGGAGGTCGTGGGTTCGATCTCCGGTCGAAGTTGTTTAATTACTGTCTTCAAATCTAGTTATCTAAATATTTCATTAATGAAAATACGTGTCTTGGCTAAGTTTATTTTAACCTACTGTTACTTATATTCGAATATGTTTATTTCTATATAGAGTGTACAGGTTTAATCGCATCTGTAAAGTTTATCTTATTCATTTTATAACGTCTAATGAGTTAGCAACACGCGTATTGTTTACCTCTAAACCATATAAAATTCTGGACATGAAAGGTCCCAAAATTGTACAGGCCCAATATACAAGCTGGCAATGACTAACTCATCAGCACTTCAAGCTGCTCCTGTTAAATTTCACTGAATAAACATAACAATACGTACCCTTCTGGCTCAGTATAGCGCGAAATTTTTAACCAATATACATCCACGCATGATGTAGATTTTTCCTCAAACTACATTTAATTTATCAATTTCCTCTTTCAACGTTCTAATTCTATTAAACAATGCAATATTATTGTCACCCATCTAGGTGATAGAATGAATTTTGATTATCTCTTATTTTTTTTTTTTTTCGTTTATTTAACTGCATCAGTTCCAACACAGTTTAGAATGTTTCTGTCGATATTGCAAAAGTTTGTTTCAAGTAATTGAAATCTTTTCTTATTGGCATTTTCTTTTTGTCTAATTTTGTCACTATCATAACACTGATACTTCTAACAACTTCTCGATTAAAAAGTTCTTTAGAATCCGATTTAGCTTACTTAGCCTCGGATTGCAAGTTGTAAAATTCAAGGAATGGAATAATGGAATATCTTCTATCCTTTTGACCGTAACAGTCGAATTAGTAATATGCAAACGGTAAGTTGTTTCCAAAGATTTTATAATTCTTTTATTAACATTTATTTTGTTTTTATAAGACTGCAGAGATGATGTATTAGCAGTTATCTTGTTCTTCAAATCGGCTGGTGGTATACTCTGATACCTTGTTTATTCTTAGAAAAAAATCTGAGCAGGAAATTCCCTCATTTTCTGTTTCAGTTTTGATTGCCACTTGAGTACCGTAGCATTCCAAAAAGTACCAGATTTAGGCATAAACTAAAAAAAAGCTACAGCTTAGGGCCTTAAAATCTGACCTCAGTTTGAAGGGCTCCCTCAAATTTATTTTAAACCAAATATGGCCTCTATAGCTTCCCATAGCTTAGGGCCTTGCTTTGTCTAAATTCGGCACTGATTCCAAAGATGTACATTATTTTATTTTATCGATTTTGCTTTCTAAAGCACATATCTCGTTTTTGTGTGTGGGTGGGGACATGCTACGTTCCCAAATACCATGTAGGGGTTTTCGATATGATATTCTAATTCTTCAACGTTTAGTTACTGCGTTTACACCAAATTCTTAGATCCAGAAAATTATAGTTTGGATTGTCTCCCCTCAGTCCTTAGTGATATTTCGTACTTTTCTGCAACATGACAGTGTTATTATCTGGTTTCCGAACTTTTGCAGGAAAGAAAGAGTACCATATGAAACCAGTCTACCAGCTGTTGTCGCTGGAAATCATACAGGATACTAGAATAAGACTCGTTTGTTGGCTTGAGCGTCGTGGTGTTTCATATGGACGAGTATAACACGAGATCAGTCTACGGAGTGGGAAATTATTTATAGTGACAGATTGAGAGTTGTATGTTTGTTGGAGTTTATGAAAAAGTCAGTTTATTTAACTTTGTTTACTGCTTGGATACTCCGGACATGATATCTCACAACCATAACTTTGTTTACTGATAGGGTAGTTGCAGAAGCTCTGGACTGTCATAAGACCTTTCTAACTATTAATACCACCATCATCTTTGAATCAATTAATGTCGACATTTGGCGTACATCCGATAGGGACAACAGGCCAATTTTAAAATCTCAAGTTAATAAATATGTTATTTTTGAGAAGATCAGAGCATAAGACATAACAAATTAGCAAATAAAATAATCCTCTTCATGGTTTTTACTCATAGCAAGTGCAAACAACTTATTTTATTTTTTTAACCTGCAAAAATGTATCAAAAAGTATTTTTGTACAGTGTATATATTGAATACAAATCCAGTAATGGAATGCTTGTTTGGGTTAATTAATGAAATAGTCATTTGAAAATATAACCAGACATCTTGAAACATAATTTACAATGTATATTGTATATAAAAGGAAATTTAGGGTAAATGTGCCTTGGCTAATACAAAATTCGCAGCTTTAATTGCTCAGAATTTACAATGATGAGTTTATGTCCAATTTAAAAATCAAATTATGTCAAAAGCTTGTCTTCATTCGTGTTTTATGAAAGTGAAAGTGAAAAACCAACGGGATTGTTAGCATCCGCCTCCTTAGTCCGAGTTTTCTCTGACCCTTGACACCCCATTTTTGATATTTGTTTTTTATGTTGGACACCCCAATATTGTCTTCATTCGTGTTTTATGAAAGTGAAAGTGCATCATAAAAGCAAACACTTCGGAAAAATTATTGATGCCGAAAAATTCGGAAAATTTGTTCATCTGCATTTGATTTGGATCCAGGTTTCATATTAGAATTAGTGAAATTTGTCGGGGAACCAGACTAACTTTACAATAGCACTTAAAATGCTTTAGGACAAATGGTACTAAATATATGGAAGAACATAGAAGCTTTCACCAAGGAAAGTTGTGCATGGAGAAATATAGGTTTGATCATCAGTACCCATACATTTTAGGTTATTGAATCTTAAATATGATGGTGTTTCCATATGTTTACTATGGGAATTGAATTAGTACCGTGACTCCTATATGCAACCTATACCATAATAAGAGCCAGTTGTTTCCATGGTTACCACATGAATACAGGGTATCATTTTGGTGGTTTTTGCATATGACCATCATAATGGAGTCGTTTTTTCATGGTTTGCATGTAATTTTGAAATAAATTCTATACAAAACATATGGGAAGGGTTGTATACACTGGACAGGGGCAGTAGATAGCTTAGGAAAAAAGAGACTTGCATGGCCTGATGGCAAAATTTCATATGTTGGTTCCCATAGATTGGCTTATATGGTTAAATACTATTTATAATATGCAGCAATTCCTCTAAAAGGGGGTGGGGGAGAGATTTTAACTGTAAACCACTTATGTCACAATCACCTTTATATCAATACTGATCATTTATCTTTAAGAGACACATTCAGTAGATCAAAGCAGAGAGCAGTGTAAAATGCAAGGACTGCACAAAACTGCACATGCCACAAAGAAATACCCTTTTCTCAAATTTTTTTCTCTTATATACTGTACTTACTTTAAACATATATATATATATATATATATATATATATATATATATATATATATATATTGCTTGCTTTTCAGATTTTGTGCCACAGAACTGCAAGCTGAAATTAGACAACCATTAGATTGACACATCTTAACCCAAGATTCTCCATCTCCATGGTTGCAGTTATGGACAGCACTATGAACCATGCCATGGAAGTTTCTCTTAAAGATTATATTCTTTGGTAAGCTGCATTTTGTCTTTCAATTCACTGATTCCACTGTGTGTTCTTGTTTAATTTTGTTTTTAACACTGTAGATTTACCTAGCTGATACTCAACATGCATGTGTAATGTACTATCCTCTCTCTCTCTCTCTCTCTCTCTCTCTCTCTCTCTCTCTCTCTCTCTCTCTCTCTCTCTCTCTCTCTCTCTCTCTCTCTCTCTCTCTCTCTCTCTCTCTCTCTCTCTCTCTCTCTCTCTCTCTCTCTCTCTCCATGGATAATTTCAGATCTGTTGATGTGAATATATGAAGAAAAAAAGAGCTTCATATCAGAAATATGGTCTCAGATTTGAAACAAAAGCTATTTGTATAGACAAAATTGCTCTACACTAACTATAAACTGATAGAATAGAACCATTTAGTTGTAAATTAGAGCTTGCTACATGGTAAACAAATCAAGGTATGTTACCTCCCCTTTGACTGTAATTTAATGATTACAAGGTTTGTGTTGTTACTCGTTTTTCAATAATTTAAGTATTTTATTCAGCTTTATATTGAAAAAGAAAGTAATTTAACATTGCTTGATGTGGAAAATAGCCACAATAATGATGTTGAGGCTTTTTCTTAACTTATTATGAGTTTTGGGTAAATATAGGTAAACAATTTATGTATTAGACCACTTTCATATGCAATCAATTCTATTACTTAAATTTACCAAGTAGTTTATGCAGCGATAAATTATATCAGTGTCTGAATATTGCATAGAAATATGGACTTAACCTGGCATTGCAAACTTTTCCACATATTTATTCGCCTCCAGCTTAATTCTTGATTTTGGCCGAAGCAGTTTGCACATGGGCTTACTGTCTCCAACAGTAATATAAACATTATAGGAACTTTGCATAGCGTTTTCAAATCAGTCTATTGTTGTCCTTATGTAACAGACCTTAAGTGGCTTTGTCTTTTGGGTTGATGAACATTTTTTCCTTTTTGGTGAGAAACATAACCAAGCTTGAAGGAATGATTGTCTATTCTTTTTTCCTTACCCTTTCCCATAGTTTTTTGGTAAAAATTAGCACTCATTTATTTAGTTCTTCTGTATAATAAAACTTAATGAACTTTTCTTTGCCTTTTATACCTTCTTGTTGAGATTTGGGGGTGATAAATCAGATGTGTTGATAGTTTAATTAGTTTGGGAATGTCAGAATATTTTGTTTCATGGGTGTTTGTATTTCTTTTAGTCATAGAAGGGCAATGACCTCTTATCATTTTGACCTGTCATGTGGCACACCTATTGGTTTTCTCTGAATGTGAAGAATACTGATGCATTGTATCTTATATCTGTGACAGTCAGAAAGAAAAGAAATGCAATTTTGAAATTTAAAACATATAAAACTTGTCTAATAGCAAGAAAGAGATCAAAATACAATGTGTTATATAATTTGATACCCTGTGATGTCATACTTGTTGATCTCAGCATGTTTGTATTTCTTTTGTGTAGCATGCATGACATAGAAAGATAACATGAAGATACAAAGGCAGAAA